TACGTGACGAATGTGCTGCACGACAGTTTTTCCAACTTTCCTTTCCTGTCTTTGTTTTCAAACTTGTTTAAAAGGATGGAAGCACCCCTCCTCCACTGGGCTGTCGCAACCCTCTATATTATTCGGATCTCATTCATGTGCCACTACGAATCTGATAGGAGGAAGATTATACATCCGGGAAAAGGCTTCGTATTTATGACGCTTTTCAGAGGGTGCTCCATAGGGGCTCTAAAGCGGTGATTTTTTTCTCATAAGAAAAAGGATTGTGGAAGATTGATTATGTGGTTTTAGAAAGAATGATTCTTGTATAACACAAAGAAGCACCAAAATTTTATTTCAAAAAGAATTCCAAAAGTTCACAAAAATTCCAAGTCCAAAAATTAAAATTTCAAAAATAAGAAACAATTTTAAAAGCATTCCTTTGAAGTCATCCGCGATATTTCGTGTATGATACATTCGTCAGGCATGTGCACATATGCCTCTACCAAGTATAAGGCTGCCCTTACGGGATCGGCGCCGTTGGAGTGGAATTCCTCACTCCATGGGGGTGCATGGGTGGAGTCTCCATTGCAGTAGGAAGAAATCGTTCTAATATCGTTTATCGTTTCCTGGGTAATGGTGTAGGAAGAAACTATGGTTTTGCACACTAATAATGAAAGGCTCGCTAAATAGGTGGGCGAGATTGAGACGCCTTAGGTTATCCCAGAACTGAAAGCACTTCCAACAGGAATTTTGCGCAATGACCAACCGTGCAGCTCAGTACAATGTTCTGGAATCGCGTCAGGCGACAACAGTGGAGTCTAGCGGTAACGAATATAAGATGCTGCATGAGAAGCCGCAGGGATGATACCTTGCTTCAAGAAAAAAAAGGAGGCTCTATTCTGCACCTCGATGGCGCTAAACAGCCCACCGCAAGAGACGTTGCGATATTCTATTGAAATGGCTCTAAGGTTCTTCTGCAATCTCTCGTATACACAGGTCTCTGTCTGACCAGGGACCAATTCTCAGCTCGTTGACGCAACTTTTGAAAAATAATTCGCTTTGAAAACAGAACCACGCCGAAATAACCTCATGACCGCTTTAACCTACTGTAGTTCAAATGGTTAACAGAATGGGTCACATTCGAATAGTTATCACTGAAAAGAATATGATGTATATACCGGTTTTCATGTTAAATCGAAAATTGTGTTTCAGCCGAGTTGTGGAGCTTCAAAATTCTGCGCACGAAACAGCGGACACTTTTTGAGCTACCCATGAAGTTCGAAAAGTTTCCGCCGATATTCAGAGCTCTAATTAAATGCTTCATTTCTGAAATAGCTACCAGATTGATGCCGCTACCAACATACCACTTCAAAGCTCGTTTCTCGCACTATCCAAAAATCATGTAAGCTTGATTTTTTAGCAGTTGCTGCCGCTTTCTCGAAACCTTGAGACCATCTGGTCAAAGTACGGTTTCGCATAAACTTTTAATTTCAACTACAATTAGCTCGAGAATAACGCCAGCAGGTCGCGATATCGGTTATGTGTTTGGTCTAGGATTCTCAGAAAATGCTGTGTAGCTGCGGTTCAAATAGCTTTTCTAGAAATTGCGAGAGCCTCGATGTTGATGGGTGCAGAGGTTGGATATCGAACATGAATGAAAGCTAATTTACCATTTTGACGAAGCCATACCTGCACAGAACTGTAGAAGCCCGGTCTAGAACTAGGCGTAACATGATTGTGAT